TTGCCCCTGACTTTTTCATGACAGAGCATCTACCTTACCATAAACCCTAACATCCAGTTTGAGGGAGGGAAGAACAGAGCCAGGCAGCAGTTGTTCAAACTGAAAAATATAGGTGAAACTCTTTGGGAAAAGAAAAACAGAAACTGAAGATGATTAATTTTTGATCGTTCCAGAGAAGAAAATGTCATTCATATAGAATTTGAGCCAGAGCCCACTAAAGCCAAAAAGAGCCTTGCTGTGAGATTCAGTGGGCTTTGGCTCATGTCCATAGGCTAAACGCTTTCTCTGGCAACTCTACAGAGTGATTCAGCCCCAAACTGCTCAGTACAGCCAAATTCAAAAGCCCTATTCATATTCTAAAAAAGGCAACTGGACATCATTCCATGGTCCCAGTTGCACAATTGTCTTCAAACAGGTGGCAGAAACAACATCCGTTGCTGGCCAGAAAACCAAAGAGAAAGTCAGGAGCCTGTGCTAGAGCAAGATTTTACATCTAACACTCATACTGTGGAACCAATTGAACATTTTCCATTGAGATTACTCTCTTTGAAAGCACTAGTCGGTTGTCTTCTAATTTGTTTTTTCTATTCCCTCCTTCCCTCCCCCTCCCCCCCCCCAATTTCACTGCAGAACTAATACATTCATATCCTCTTACAGGAAACCATATTAGCATGTGGAACTGATACAGCAGACAGTAGCAGGTATGGTGAGATACTTTGAGGGGCTTTCCATTATTGCAGGAAGATACATCAAAATTAAATTAGCATTTTTAACTAAAGGTATTAGTATTATTATTTTGGATAAAGAAGATTGGAGAAGAATACATCTCACAGAACAGGAATTTCTGGTAGGAAGAAAGCAGCTATTTTTATAGATTACCCAGGAAGGATGCAAATCAATAGGCATAAAGATACATTAGTGTGCCCATCTTTTGTAAATAGAGCTTTGTCACAAGATCATAGTTTTCAGCGTTTATGTGACTAATATCTTAAATAAAGGGTAGTGGTCAATGGCTGAACTTCTCAATGGAGATCGGTGACAAGTGGTGTCCCCCAGAGGTCTACACTGGCACCAGTACTGTCTAATATCATCTTCAATTACATGGACAGGGGGATCAAGGGCACCCTCAACAAGTCTGCAGAGAAATCAAGCTGTGTAGTGCAGTTGACATGCCCAAGGGATGGGATGCCATCCAAGGCACATGGGCAAGCTCAAGAAGTGTGCCCATGTGAACCTCATGAGGTTTAACATCGCTAGGTGCAAGGTCCTGCACATGGGGCAAGGCCACCCCTGGTATCAGTACAGATTGGGGATGAAGGGATTGAAAACAGCCCTGTGGAGAAAGACTTGGGGGTACTGGTAGATGAAAAGCAGGACATAAGCCAGCAATATGTGCCTGCAGCCCAGAAAGCCAATCCGGTCCTGGGCTGCGTAGAAAAGCTTGTTTGAAAGAGGTGAAATGTTTATTTCAGTATTTTTCTAAATGATATTTTCCTCTTTCAAAATAACATTTTTTGCTTTAAAAGAATCCAGCTGACAAGGAAAAAGATGTTGAAGATCCCACAGGTTTAACAAAAGGTTTTGAATTTAGCTTAAAATTTGAGTAGTGCATCTTCTGCTTGACTCAGACTGCGCACACTCCCCTCTAGCTTTTCAGATTTGGGCCAATGAACAAAAAAAAAAAACGTTGTGTTGTTTGAACAGTGACATGGGATGAATCTGCAGTGTAATGATGCTCCAAGAGACAATATCTTGCAAGGGAAGAAATGCTCCTTATGATAACAACACTGCTGAATTCCCTGTTGCTTTGCGCTCATTGTAAACAGTTCATGTAGGTCAATGTCTGTCGAAAACCTTCCCTCCCTTAAGGCAATATTCCTTACTGCTAAAAACAGATACAGGATAACACAAGATCAGGCCCTATGAGTCCACAGCATAAGTAAATGTTGGATGGTGTCACAGCACAAAGTTGTTCTAGAAACCCCTTTATGAGAGAAAGGAAAGAATAAAGCTAACTTTCCAAAGACCTAGAAATCCAGGTTTTCATCATCAGCAGAGAAATCCTGGTTATGCTCTAAGTCATCAAAAAGTTCCCAGAGACTTCAGTGGAACAGGAATTTAAGAAAGTATGCACCAGCCTCCCTGCAGACAACTTATTTCCTTTTCTCTTGAACTTAATGTAGGGAGGTTTTTTGCTTTTTTTTAGTCCTGGGTAAGGACACAAGGAGGAAATCTCTGTTCTTTTGTAATAAGTGCATGTAGGAACTAGTTGAGGAAGAAACAATGAAGAGCATTCCTATTGTCATTTCTGAACTTCTGCAACTTCACTGTTCACATACTTCTGGCACTAAACCATAAAAGATCATATAAGTATTCCCATTTACACATTTTGTCGTTTTTCCACAAGAAAAGCATCTTGAAGAACTTGCTTTATGTTTGATGAAATAATCTAAATTCTTTGTATGATAAACATTCATGTTTAATAGTTTACTACACCCCTTTCCAAAAGAGGAAGAAAAACAAGAATTAATAAAAAAAAAAAAAAAAAAGGCAGGGAAAGGAACATGTCACACAGATACTCTCCAAATATTCCCTCTGTTTGAGCTTGGTAGAAATGAAAACAAAGGGGTAGATATGAGAAATGCTTCCTTTCCCCATCCCCCTTGCCTCTCTCTAACTGGGAGAACAGGGTAGCAGAAAAAATTCCCCTGGTGAACTGTAATCTCTGTTATATATAATAGTCTTAAGGCCATTATACAACTGAATAAACATACTTTCATTTCTTATTATCGCTTATCTGTCTTTTCATCTCACATAAATCACTCAGATTTCCTCTCCAAATTTCTCCCATTCCCCTGCAAACACACCCATTTGCTGTCTGTTGTGAGGTTCTCACCTTGTCTTCAAGGTCCCACCAACCTGACAAAAAGTGCCTTGACCTTGCCAAGGAAGAAGGACCAGGGCAGGTAGTGCAGGTTTGTTTTCCCAGGCAATTCTAGACATACAAGAAATTTATAGCTGAGAAGTTTAAACATGCTTTCAGAATATAAATATGCTGTATAAAGTACTTACTAATATGTTCTGACAGGAACACTTGCATAAACTTTGGCAAACAATCAAACGGTATTTAAAAGCTGTCTTTGCTCACTTCACATTGTAGTGTTTTCAGTTTCTTATTGTTAAATTAACAGAATAAATGAAATTACAAGAGTTGAAAGGAAAAGGTGTACTGAAGAACATCCCCAGTCAGGACCTAGCTCTGTAGTTAATTAATTGTGACCAGCCGTATGGCCTATTGTGACACATCTCTACTGCTTTTTATTAATATGTAAAGTTCATAAAGTTCGTTAAAACTACATGAAGTTGCAGAGTCAGCATTAGAAAGGTTAGAAATGCCAGAATGAATTGGCCAACATCAACCCAGCCACATATGTGAATGCATGCAGATAAGTCTTAATTTTATAACCACACACTTCTTCCCTGCTCTCTCCTACCCTGCCTCATTGTGTGCAGGAGGCTCAACACCAGCTATATCAAATTCTATTTCATACTTTCTTTTTGAAGGTCAATTAAACTAAAGAAGAATGGACACATAATTTGGCAGTGAATTTCACAGATGTTTTTTGCCAGTGAAGAAACTGGCATTTCATTCTGGGCAGCAAGGAGAGGTATGAAAAGGAGAAGACCACACGTTCTTCTCCTGACCAAACTGTCCTGCTCCTGTCTGTCTCTTCCCTATGTTTTCTACTTCTTTCTTGCACTCCCACCCTTCCTATTTCAGTCTTCTTAACCAAGGCCCAAAACATTCCCTTCTACCCTGTTGTCAGTCACAACATTTTTCATGCATTTTTCATAATGGTCTCAGTCTCTCAGACCCTCACATTTCTATTTTCTTTCCACCACTAAGCATTTCCAGCTCACCCTTCATGATCCTTACATTAGTAAGTAACTGTCTACTACCACCAGACTTGAACCTGAGCTCTTGATACTCCTTATACAAGGCAAATTAACTCCTCTTCCAGACCACCTGAGATGCCATGAGCCATCTACTTACCTTACAACCAGAAAAACAACTTCTTACAACCAGAAAAAAACAGTGTCAGAGAAAGTCCTGGTTAGAGCATGGCACCCTGGACCTTGCATGTGTCTGTGAATGACAGATATTTTTCCTCCTTTATCTTATTTTCCTCCTTTATGTTCTTTTTTTATTTGTTCACCTTTTGCTTTGCCTCTTTTTCCAGTTATCTGGGAATTTAGCTGCCAAACTGTCTCAGTGGAGCACATATGAAGAGATTTTTAAAAATGTCCAACTTGTCCAACACCGGTCCATTTTTCTAAAGGTGGTGAAGGCAAAAAGAAAATTCCTTAAAAATAAAAAAACTTGTCAGGTTTCAGAATGCTATTTCAGGGTTGTAGAGGTACAAGTTTTGACCAATTCATTCATGGAGGTGTTGAGTTTTCCTTTTTATTAAGAAAACCTTTTTTTTTTTTTTAAGTGGATTTCAGAAGAGACTTAACTATTTTGCCTGTAAAGTTTTTTCCAGAAATATTCCATTCAAGGCAGATAGCCATCTTGGAAAATATCATATGGTCCTATTTCCTCAGAAAGATCCTTGTGGGCCCACAAAATCTGAGCTATTCCATCCAAATGGTCATCCAGCTTCCACCCTGATTTCTAATAAAATGCTTTGGTTTCTTAATCAAAACAGATTTGTACAAGATTTCTTTTTTTTTTGTTTTTTTTTTTTTCTCCCAAATGACTGTTTTCTGTGCTTTGTCACAAATGAATAAGATTATTTTTTTTTCCTCTTGGAAACTCAGTTGCTGAAAAATGGAAATTTGGCTCACTGTAAAGCACTTGATATAATAAAATCATGGGTATCCATTGAACCCCTGATACTTAGGAATATCAGGAAAAATTGAAAAAGATGCAATTCAGGAACTCCTCCAAGCAAGTCTACACACAACGGTTTTGGAAACACTTCCTGGTTTTTTTGTTGCAGTTTGGCTTAGCTGACATGTACTTCGAGAAAAACAAAAGTGCACATTTCATTCCTGCAAAGATTGACCTACATGCTTAATTTTACCATTTGAAAAGTAAGATTAAATCAGTAAGATTAAATACATGCACAAATCTTTGAAGAGGTAAGGCCTGAACAACCTTCTGATGGTGGTACAGGGGAATATGTGTGATCGTGGATGACATCTTTTTCTCTCTAGATACTACAAAGGCTAAATGCAGTCTGCAGCAACTTACAGATTAACTGTCAACTACACACAAAGTTTTTTTCATTTCTTTCTTCCTTTCTTCCTTCTTCCAGCTGACAGCTGGTAGCTTTACTTTGTTCTTACTTTGAGAGTGTCTATATTTTACTAGCAATAAGTCCTCTCAAAGATTTCTGCTTGGAGTTTCTTGCATCACAGAGGGTCTTCCAATCAAACCCATTTCTTCTGGCAGCAAGTCCAGAGATTTCCAGCAACCCACTTTCAGTGGATCATAGCAATGGAAATGCCCTTGAAGACTTTTCCTGGAAGGTTTGGTCTGCTCTGGAGTATTTACAGCTCAAAAGCAATGACCACATATTAACAGGAGAAACATGGTGGCACAAAGGTACACTAGCACACTGCTGAGAAAAGGCATTCAGGATGATTTAAAGCAAGAAAAACCCAACCAAACAAATAAAAAAAAACCCCACAAAACATTCTGGGTTTGGAGAGTTGCTTTTGTTTCGTTTTAGTTTGTTCTTACCCGGCTCTATAAATCCTGCTAGTCTAACTTTTTCCTTTGGTAATGAACCACCTAAATACATTGTTTTTGAAGAAGACTATCAAATGATTTGTGGACTCCAGCAGATGAAACACTGTAATATAGTCTCTCATAGATCCGCTGGTGTAAGTAGGCTAAATTTCCACAGAGAAACTGGGAGAAACTCTTTGAAGTCAGTCTACAGCACATGCTGAATTTCACTCCTGAGAGAGAGAAAATGTCTATCAAATGCCATGCATCTCTGACATACTAGCTGGGAGACAAAGCCCAAAATGAATGCAGAGAACAGGGTCTGACCCACTGAAGCAATTCAAAGTATATCTTAGGAAACAAACTTCATGTAAGGTATTTGTATTAAATCAAAATGCTGAAGTAGAATTAGCACCAAAAGCACAGGAAGCATGAAATAACTCACTATGCTTATAATTCAGTTATTAGCATAATGGCTTCAGTGGTTCAAAGATGCACTGCACTAGTGAAACCTGCAGTGGAATGAAATGGAGCTTGGAATAAGCTCAGGCTGCAGTCCAGAAAGTGGAGAATGTTTCACTAAAAGGACCTCAAGAGATGATCACCACGTCAGCCTGAAAAGAGAGTGGGACGCATCCTGTATGTCACTTCAGCAACTCCAGATGTCAAAACAATCACTTAGCACATTAGAAAAGCTAAAGATGGACAGTGGAGATGACTGATAAAATGCAAATTTCATGCCAAAATATTCAAAAAGTATGAGCAATGGAAACAAAGCCCAAAAAAACCAATTCAGCTAGGATGTTAGAAAGCATGAGTCAGGAGAATGATGAGTACTAATGTGCCTTTGAAAAACGTGAGGCAAATACTTATACAGAACTGGACAGAAATGGGGTTAAAGAGCCAGCAAAGAGTTGAGCAAATAACCTAAGTGTTTAAAGGAACAAAACAAATTCACTGCTGGTAGCTGAAATGTGAAGATGTGAGAGAACTTGTAACCTGATTTAGCATATCAGGAGTGAGATTGCTCAGGAGGTCAACACATGTCAATCACCACATATGTATACTGTCTATTATAAAACATGAAACAATTAGAAAACCAAAATTCAATAACCATAGTCGCACTAGATGATACATAGCCATTCAGTTCAGTATACAAAAAAAATAACAATGGTGAACAAGAAAACCAGTTTATCTAACTTCTTTATCACCCTCAGCACAAATTATGTAAGCACACAGACTTGGGCATGGACAAATTCAGTATTGGCTAGCATATCACGCTCTTAACAGTCTTTGCCAAGACTTACATTTTCAAAACAACTCACTAAATTTGCACCAGATAATCTGGCATGCCAAATATTAGCCACTTAAGTGTTTACCATCAGGAATGTTCTGAACTTAACTCTCTTCCCACTGGAGCTCCTGTTCTGAGAATCCTGTCCAGTTCACAAAAAACTGAAGTGCTTGCAGGAACCATTGGCTTTAGCTATCACTGTGGCCATTCAGCTTCTTGCTTAGCTGGGGACTTGGAGCCTCAAGCTTGAGTAATTGAAATGTAGTAACCTAAAATTTGCAAAATAAATAAAATTTGGTATAAATAATTGGTCTTTGGAGAGTTTATCTTAATCTATGGCATATTCCATCCATCTCTCTCCTCCCTACCTATCCCTCTGCCCCCCAAAAAATAAAGCACATTTTTTAAAAGAATAAGAAGGAAAAAAGTGACACATCAGAGATTATTGTAAATTGTAAACAGAACGCTCAATAACTGAGAAACAGTAAAACTTTTTAAATGACCCAGATCAAGACAGGAGCTACTTTATTTGCAGATCTTAAAGGGACCAAACTACATTTTGTGGTAGATAAAACTCACAGAATCAGAGAGCTAAGGACGACAATGACTTGGAATGCCGAGTGCTCAGGATATACTGTATGCATGCATTTGTCTTACTGAGCTCCTGGCATTGCAGGACTGAGGCCTAAATCTGGGTTTGAATTTCACACTCTAAGTCTTGCAAAAATAAGTTTAGACAAATTGTAAGAAAGGTCGGGCTCATTTCATATGCTCTGATATAACGATATATCAGAGCATAACAGATACATCTAGACACACACAAAAAGAACCAAGTGTGTTGAGAAGAGAGTTATATTGTAATTCACTTGAGGTTTTCAGAGAGGAATACATGGCAGTACACGGGTGGTTAATATTTTGCCTGACCCATTGCAAAGAACTAATAAAAGTAAAAGCTGTGCAGGTGCCCCTTCTAATCTGAGAACAAATCACAAAGGCAGGCACAAACAAAAGGCAGGTGAGCTCTCAATTGAGCAATTAGGAGGAGGACAAACAGGGAAAAAAATGAAAAGGTAAAGTAATCCACCCAACCTCTTGACAAAATTTAATCAGAAAAGCAGTTTAGAAAGGGGCTTCAAATCTACTGAAAACAAAGTTTCAAATAACAAACACCAATAAAAGTATCATATAAATAATAGCCCTGAGGCCAAAGTGTAGAGATTAGCAGAGCAATCAAAAGGAGCCAGAAACAAACAATTATATGTTTGCGAAGCAGTCTGTCAAGCAAACAGCTCTCAAAACCAGATTTAGAAAACATGCTCTGTAGAAAGAATGGTCAAATGTTGACTGATAGAGTCAATATATCCACCTAGGCTGGGAGTTCTTAGTGAATGTCAATCTAACAAAACAAAAGACTTTTCCTAAAAGGCAGCTACACATTGCCAGGATAAGGTATCACAAGGAAGAGACCAGAAGTTTGCTGCCATAATCTTAGTATTAAATAGAGCTATTCCCACTTGGCACTGAAAATTTTGGTGACATTGACTTACGGTTACTCTTAGGAAATATGTGTACTGTGGGATACAGTACACAACAGCCTAAGTGACAATAATCAATACATATTTGGTATACAGTCAATGAAAATGTACACTGAGATTCAGCAGCCTTGCCCTGAGTATGGAACCGAGTACTCATTTGTGACAAAGCAGGCAAAATGTCCCTTTTTTAATCTCCTGCACTCTCCTGAATTTTTGAGATTCAGAGCCTACCACAGCTCTCAGCCAATTGTGGACTTCTGTTCTGAGATAAAAATGTCACTAGGTGACCATTTGGTCATATGTGACCCTGCCCTTGCTTGCAAGATCATAGCATCCAGGACAGCAGTATTTCACAATAAGACGGGCCTCGAATTTAGACAGTTGGCAAGTAGAATTTTATAATTGTACATTAATATTCCAGAATTCAACTATTTAAAAAAATTGCCAAATAATGAAAGATAGAGCTAATATCTGTTTCTCCAAAATATTTATTCTGCTAAGTTTGAATTTCATGCTTATTCTTTCAAATCTCGTGTTGCACCTTCTCTGCTGAGGCAGGCTTTTGTCACATTTGGAGGTAGCAAGCCCCAAACCTGCAAAGTCTGTGTCTATTCTGAACTTTCTGGTGACAAACCGTGACACTGAGGTTAGCAGGACTAATGACATGCATGAAGGTAAGTGCATATCTAATCAAATATTTGCGGGGTCAGACCCCATTATAATATTATTAACACAGGATCATTTAACGGAGAGACCTGAAACTTTTCATTGTATTCGGGGAATAAATCACCTACTGTTTCAAACCTCCTGAACAAATAGGGGTTTCATATTTGTCTGTGTCTGCTGTCTATTTTGGATCTTTGTCATTTACCTTGCCCCACATTTAGGCCTGGAGCATCTGAGAGAAAAGTCTGGATATGTTTATTTTTCTATTTCCCATGGAGCCAAGCCATGAGATAGCCCTCCCCAAAAGGAAATTAACCCTGACTGTGTGACTGACAAGATTGGAGTAAAAGAAATATAGCTCATTTTAAAACTTACCCAAAAGCAGTGTCTCTTCAAGCAGCACGACCCTGTGGCTTCATTTAATATTTCTAGGACAGAGTCTGCAAGGTTAATGTGTTAAGACAGTAAAAACTTTCCCTTTGCCTCAGGCACATCACTTCTATTCAGCAAGGCAAATAATACCCCACCTACAGAAGCCTGCCCAGAAGCCCAAAGGCTGCACAGCAACAAGCCTTCATTTCTTCCCTGTCTCCTTGTCTCCTTGAGACTGACATTGCCTGGGTGCTGAATAGCCTGGTGGGAAGAGTTCAATGCAGGGTTTGCACTTTCCCAGCCATTAGCCAGCTGCCATCGCATTTCATTATCTTAGGGGCTGCTTTTATACATCAAAGGCACTTCCAAACAGTGTGATGAAGTGGAAGTAACGGAGCTTGGTCCACGTTGCAAGTCACAGTATTATTTATTGTCATTATTTTTTTTGCACCCATCTCATGCCATCTGGCCCTCTAACTGTAAAGGCCAGTGATGGAAAAAAGGCTCAACACACCCCTCGGTTTCTTGGAGTGAATCCTGCTGAACAACTAGGCCTTGGAGCAACTGCCTGTCGTTATCAGGACTCTCTATTGTTTTGCACAAGGAGCCCTCTAAAAAGCAAAGGGAAAAAAAACAAAGGTAGTGCACAGGATCTCATGTGAAAACAAAGTAAGCAGAGCATGAAAAGTGGCACTGAGATGGCTTTTTCTTTGCCTTCTTTCCAACGTAGCCAAGAAATAAAGAGTTGAAAAAGGTTTTCTTTGTCTTCTAAAGAAGCTGCCTGTGAACAAGCCAAGGTAGTGGGTTTTGCATTAGCCTGCCTCAGATCACTGTTCAGCTGTTTTAACTTACTTTGGCTTTTGTCTTATTATGTCTTTTAATGACAAAAGCCCATATGGTTGGTGATTTATTGTACTTCTCCAGAGTTTGAGACCTGCTTTCCCTTACCGGAAATCTGTAATTGATACATTCATAAAATGTTGAGAATTACATTAAAAGGTGAAAAACCTGAAATCTCTCTCTGCGTCACAGAGTGCTAATTAGTGGCTTAAACAGGAGTTGTCAGTGGATGTATGATTAAGTTGCAGTCTTATATGGTAGCTTGGTTTTAGAGGCCAGGGAATAAACTACAACACATTTCTGCCTCTGCTGTGCCTGCCTGCCATCAAAACAGCCTGTTGCCAGAAAAATAAACCCAACAAGAAATGTTCATCCTTCCACAGTCACATATTTTGGCATATATGTTTTGTGCAATGATTTATTTTACCTATTAACTTCAGGCTTTAAGAATACCATAGTTTGACTCTGAATGAGACAGGGCAATTGACTGCAATGTCAAGGTAGTAAGGCTTGAAAAATGCCCCGGACATGTAAGTCAGTGCTTGCAAAACATTGTTTCTCTTTTTAAAAACAACACAACATTGTTTTGCATTTTTGAATGCTTGTCATGAAAGTAAATATTTGGTATGGTGAATACTGGTGCATAAGGCCCTGATTCTGTAAACCGAGTCACGTAAGTAAAGCTTTTGCCCATACAGATTCCGAAGGTGAGTGTGCATGAAAAAGAGCTTGCAGAATCAGGGTCAAATCTGGCAGCCTTTTAGTAGGCTTGATTAACTTAATTTGAGATTGGCATGAGACAGTATAAGACTTAATTTCGTCCTGAAAACTTTTTCTGTTCCGTGCTTGCCACAGCTAACCTGTAGCTGTGAAATATCTCCCTGTAAGCTAGCAATTAGATTGCTATCTGAGACCAACTTGGAAATAGGAGTCAGAGAAGTCAAGCCACTGGCAGCTAACATCAAAACCAAAAATCCCTGACCTTGACTGCTCTTAATACAAAGGCCCTTTTCCTGCTGTTTTTGAATGAACGAAGGAATGAGAGCCAGCAAATGATATAGCAGACACTTTCTTCTGAAAAGATAAAGCAAATTTATTTTATTTCTGTATACAATCCACTGCCCAGACACAAAGCCAGGAAGCAATATTGGGAAATTCCTAAAAATATGATTTATGCTGGATAGCGCCTCCTCCTTCTCATCACTTGGAACTAATAGCGAGCCAAGAATTTCCTGACCTTTTGCAATTCTTTTGGAAAATGTGCTTTCCCCTCATTGCTACCTCATTGTGAAGAAAGTGTTTATTTCTAGTACTAGGTTTTAAATTTGACTTGAAATAAGAACGCATCTTATACACTCTGTCTCTGCTCCTTTCTTTGGTATGGGATTGAACAGGTGCTGCAACACAGCTTCATTTTCAAGCTGCACACAGATAATCTTCCCATTTTAGAGCACGGCAGGCATCCCTTCTTGGGTGACCAACCTCACACCATCCAAATGGGGGGAACGGTCACAAAGAAAGAAGTCCTTTGCTCAGTTTTAGAAACATGAGCAAGCCAGATGTATCCTGTAAGTCTCCACCAGACAGATTTGTGAAGTGTCCCAGATGAGGCATCCACAGGAGATTTAGGGCTCATGGGACAGATATTTTTATGTGGATGAACAGGGGGAATTGCTCAAAAGCAATATGACCAATGCAAGTAGGTTTCCCATCTGCAGAAGGCAATAGGATAGCACTTCTTTTGTCATTTCAATGAGCATTTATTCCCCATTCAGGACCAAATGTGTAAAACAGGGTCCCTTGATAGCCTGGATGGGCAGCGTTTTACCCCAGCAGCCCCACAAGCTGTCATTTAG